GGGGGGGGCCATGGGGGACCCCAAGCAGCCCCTTGCAGGCTGGAAGTCTGCCCTCCTGCAAGGAAAAACCCATGGTTTCCCATGTTTTTCTCCTTTAAAGGAGAATCCATTTTTAAAGGATGTTCATGAGCCTTTTGTATATTCTTCCGACCCACTTTTGGGTTGCGACCCACGAGTTGAGAAACGCTGTTCTAGTAGGCACAGATTTCTGCCTATTCTCACCCCCTAAAGCTTGAACCTAATAGTTTCCTCCTGTCCCAAGCCAGTTTCTTCATCCCAGTCTCATTCTCTTTAGTTTGACAGTAAGTCCCTGCCTCTTCCCACATCTCGTCCCATTCTCCTTGCTCACCCAGTCCCCAGGGCCCTGCCCTTTCTGTCCTTTGTTCCCAGTGTTTCCCATTTCCTTCTCCTCATTAAACCTCCCTCTAGACCAAACCATAAAGCATCTAAATCCCTTGCTCACTTGCCTTACTAGCTCCTAAAGTCTCAGCTTCCAACCTCTAACTCTCAAACAAATGCAACCATTTCAAGTACTGAGGTCTCAAATATTTGTCACAATCAACTTTTTCCCTGCTCCCCCAGTACTCGGGTCCCATTTCTGTCTGATCTGAATTGGATTGCTTCTTCCTTCTGGGTCTTAATGCCAGCACCAGGAAGATCATAAGCATGGGAGGAGAAATAGGCCCTAGAAGCCAAAGTAGGGAGCCAAACTCCACTCCACCAGGAGAAGCCAGTGCAGAGAAGGTCCAGTCTTGTTTCTGCTGAGCGGCAGGTGACGTGCTCATCCCCTCTGCTAGGGAGGTTAACACACAGCTGGGAGCAGACAGCATCAATTGTGCTTCAGTTAGGATGGACTCTTCAAACTGGTGGAGCCTCCACTAAGCAGGTGATAACTCATTTTTCAAAGGCAGCACATAAGTCAAACTTACTTGGGAATGGCAAAGCTTTTCATGGGAATGGAAAAGGCAGATCCTTAATATACAATATTCATGTGTCAAGGTCCTTGCTCTAAACTATAGGTGCAGTAGTGCCTCTCAGAGGAAAAAAAAAAGATACCAGATTTTTGTTTAAATCCTGACAAATTTTCCCCACAGGGAAAAAATGTTCCTTAGGCACAGCTGAAATATTTGGACAGGACAGAAATTTTGCCAAAATAAAATTCAGCCCAACTTAGACACCTGGTGGAGAAAACGTCATTGCAACTGTTTAAATTTAGCAAAGTTTATAAACAACTGAAAACCAGGTCGGAGAAGCAATGGGCAGCCTTGACAGCAAATGCTGCCAGCCCTGCCTATATCTTTTACATTGGCTGAATGCAGGAAATGGGATTTCAAGGATCAACGAACCCAGAAGGTGCTGAACAACAGACGTTATAAATCCATCATCTGCACAGAGCAAATAAGAGTGCTGAAAGCAAATTCTTTCAAAGCTGTTCTCAGCACATAAATACATCCACATTTAATTGCTTTGCCACATTTCAAAGATCGCTCGGTTATCCCAAATAGAACAGGACTTCAATTGAAACTTAATAACCCGATTTTGAACTCCATCTCTACCCCCACCTCCCCCCACACGCGCACACTTTTTATGACTATTTTAAGTAAAAAAAGGTGTCCTCGTACACTGGGCTAAAATGAGCGCTGAACTGAGACACTTTTGGATTTGATCCTACAAATGCACACAAGGAGCAAAATGAAAACAGAGCACCTTAAAGAAATGAATTTTTAAAACAGGCACCAAAAACCTGATCTCCCCCCACTCCTTTAATATCATTTACAACATGGGAACTAATCACTTGCAAAATAAATTTTTATCAAAACAGTGCCCCATTACAAAACAGTCCCAAAAGGAGTCCAACTCAAGACTTGCTTTCTTTGACCGAAAGTAACTTTGACAGCTTTTGTGGTTTTGAACACAACAGGCTTCTGTTCTGTTCTTGCAAAAACTAATAAATTTTACCATTTCCTTTCACAAACAAGGGAAATGTTCTACGCTGTTTATTTACTCTCTCGGGCACATGAGAACCATAAAGTGGATGAACAATTTCTAATAGTCATTTACACAAGTCAGCTATTCAGCATTAAGAGGGATAAAGGAAGGAGAAAAGAAAGGGGGTAGTCCTCATGCTCTCATTTGTTTAATTGCAACATATGTTTAATCCCGTTGGCCAGAAGTGTGGCTCAGCGTCCTCTGCCATAAAACCAGCCTCCTTACTCTGTATTTGAAATCAAAGACCCACGTGCCCCCAACATCATATTCAAGTGTTTGGCTTTAGAACTGCAGTTCTCAGTAACCAGACAGCAGCATGTTATCCAGCCAATAAGAGGGATGCTACTTACTTTGGACAAGCCTTTTTTTTTTTAATCCAGACTCCATGGGGGTACCTCAATAAATAAGTTTGTGAACATAATGCAACTGGCTTTTCCACAGGGGAATCAGAAGTAAACTTGATTTTGGGGGTGGGGGGGGGTATAATTAGCTTTTATCCTTTACCTGGAAGATTTAAACTTAAAAATGATGAACAAACAGCAACTTCTGACCACCAATAGAGACCTAGCCACAAACACACTGGGAACACCTAAAATAAATGTCTGTAGAAGTTTGGCCTGAAAATCAAGATCAAGAGGGAAAGCTGTATTTTAAACATCTGTGACTTGTTTTAAGATTGGTAAGAAAGAAAGAGATGACAAAATGAATAACGTACATATGAAATAAATATACTTAAGAAGTGGTACAGTGCAGGACCACAGAGGACTGAAAGTGATAAGGTACCTGATAACTGAATGGCAAATTAACTAGGAAATTGTGGTCCCTCTTTCCCAGCAAGGAAGGTAAAACTGTTTCTATTATTTGTAACATATAGCACATATGCAAAAAATTGCCCCCTTTGAGAAAAGGAAAATTACATGCCCTCAGCTTTATAATTACACCCTGCAGGAAAAAGTGTGAAGCTACAGTAAGATGCATTGTAATCAGTTCTTTATGGTTGTGCTAAGATCACTTGTTGGTATTTTCAAAGGCACCTGTCAACATGGCATTTTTGTAGTTCCAGAATGGGTCTTTTAACCAGTGCTGCGTGATGCTGTATAAAGCCACACGGTACATTCAATCGTACCCTGAACTGCTGGATTTCTCTGCCAAAATTAAAGGCAGGAGGAATGCTAACAGCTTAACATGAAGTCTCAGTAAGAGATACTAATAAGGTTGAATGGGACTAATGCAAAATTCCCACTGGACTTGGTAGCTTTTCTATCAACAACAGGCACTGGATAGGTCCCAAGAATGGCAATTACTTCGAGTTTAACATGTAATTTTACATAAAAGTCATTGCCTCAATTTTGCTTCTGCAGAAATCCTGAAACAAGTCTTCACTTCCTTCTGTACTGATGATTACAAGTTCCTTGCTGGGGCCTCCTCCACATCCTAATGCATCCAGCACCTGCCTTTCAGTACAAAGAAAACTATCAAATCACCATTTGATGCTTGGACAATTCCACTGCTTCCCATTCATTCCCGGGACCAGCTCAAAACTGCCTGTTCTCTCCTTTGTAAGCTTCAAATGCAAGTCACAGAGTGGGACAGACACCAAAACTCTTGTAAGCAGCAAAATCTAATATAAGTTGTGGCTCATATAAAAATAAAGTGCTAGTGAAAGATGTTAAACAACCCCTAGAGAACTAAGTCAGCAATTTATCTCATTAATGAATACAGAACAGGCAGAATGCAAGCTTCATTTGGGATGCCATTATTTCTAATGAGTCACTGTGCTCCAATAATAGCACAGCCGCTGCCAGGGGTCTTATCTACTGATACATACTTTCATGTAATCCACAGGGGGAAAATAAAGGACGGGGAGACAGAGAAAGAGAGAAGGAAAAAAAAAAAGATGTATGAATTAATTCTTACCCATCCCAGAGTCCTTCTTAGTGCCATCTGATATGATGTCCACATGGTCGCTGTCTACATCATAACTGAAGAAATCGTTCAAGTAAGTCTTCGATCTCTGGCCGCCAAATACATATAAACAGCGATTTTTCTAAAGAGGAAGGAAAAAAACCGCATGACTTTTGTACTGTGTTTAAGAAAACAACACTTTAACTAAACGGCTCTCAGTGAAAATCTCCAGAAACAAAACATTAATGAATCAGCAAAATTAGCAATAAGTTGAGCACATTTCCGAGAGGGAGAATTTAGATCAGTTTGACTATTCTGAGGTTTGGTTATGTACAAAACAGAATTAAACTGAACTTAAGATATTTCTGATTCCTACCTAAAGATTCACAATATAAGTTTAATTTGGTGGAGAATTTGTTCTCAAGAATGATACACTTTCAGACCTACTGGACTAATAAATCCTTTAACTTAAAGGTTACACACACACACACACACACACACACACACACACACTGTTTTGTATACTTTGCGTTACTTTACTGAGCAATCCAGTAAAACTTTCCCATATTTAACTATTATGAACTAGTTAAACAGCAACGTCAATTCTGGGCTTGCAACAGGCATTTTCAGGGTAAACGGCTGAAGTCAGACAAGATAACTTCACTACAACACCCAAAACAAGAACTAGATCATAAGACAAATAATCCAGATACAAGTGTATTCATTACAAAAGACGACACAAATGACTAGCCAAGTAGCCAGTTAAGTTATTTCTTTCAAGTTACCCAATTGAAAATCCTTGAGTAGGCAGACTGTTTCTACTTCTTTCGATATAATTTAAGCAGCAAAGAGCTTAAATTTCCATGATGCACTTGTGAAAACATATGATTTTACATTCAACTTTAAAAATGTAAGCACTTACTTAAGTATGTAAGTGTTCAGGTACTGATGTGGGTGTTTTGTGAGCATTACCTAGCAATACTTTCTGGGACTCAGTGCACAATTAAAACAAAAACAAAACAAAAAAAAACCCAACAAAGAAAAAAAAATCTTTGAAAAGCTTTACAAATACCAGCTTTACAAATGCCATTTGGGTTTAACAATTAGTTATCCATTTTCAGTCAGCAGCATTAATTTGACTGTGGTTTTACAGTCTGCATGTCAAACCTGAGACCAGGTAATGGGTATAAAGCACACATATGCTCTCAACCAGGATGCCAGAACACCCTGGGGTGCCACGAGACCCTTTTCAGGGTGCCACACAATATAAGCACCGTTATATGTGTGCCACAACTACACACAATTCACAAGATAAACCCAGAAATTTCAAACAGGAATCCAGTGTCAAAACCATTCCAATTTGTTGTGGTCTTTTGAGGGCTTTGCAACAGCAGAACTGCTCTATTATTTTTCTGTAGTCGAAAAGCACAAGTGACAACTAAGAGCTGACGTGTTCCAAGGGGTGCTTTGAATCTAAAATGGTTAAGAACCACTGGTATATAAAGCAATCTGTTTCAGACCTGAAGTTCATATTTTCACCAAACTTAGGACTTGTCAAGAACAGGGGAATGCAATTACGGAGTGGCAAGGCCATTGATTTATTGCAGAAGTACTCTTACACTTTAATTCCCTATGGGAGCCTACTTATTTTGCATTGCAAGCACTGCTCCATGCTGCTTCCAAAGAATAACCTAACCTACACAAAGGCACTCTGTATGGCATGTGCACCCAGGTGGGAAGCTAGTGCAGAACAGATATGCCACACCAACCATTCTGGGCTACCCCATATTTCATGGATTGAACCTCTTCTTCAATAAAGCTACAGCTGAACATTTATTCGCAGATTTTTTTTTTTTTTTTTTTTTTTTAAGTGCTCAGTAATTCATAACCGAGACCAGATTTTCAAAAACAATGGGATTACATTCAAGTGAATAGGCCAAATTTCCCAGTACTGCTTATTACTTGAAGCTGCTAAAGAACAATGGTAGCTGTTGGTTCCTAACTAACTCTGAAAATGAGGCTCTTATTCACTTAATAAGTTTGCAAATATGTTAACTACTACAGTTAACCATCTTAGTAACTTGCCATATTAGTAGTATACATCACTGAAACAGGGCACAGTATGAAAATGAATTTTTGGTTTGGGGTTGGGGGGTAAAAGCTTCTTCAGACTAGAGTAGACTGATGTCCAGCATCTCACCCCAATAGGGGTACCGTACAATAGCTGTTTAACAGCACAGCATACCACCATAAACAGTTTCACTAACAACAATTGAAAAAAAATAAATAAATAAAAGAAGAACACGGTGAACTTAAATCAATAAAAATATAGCCGAAATGCATGATTTAATACCACAATTCTTCTGGAGTGCGTCAGTGTATAAATGAGCACAGCTGACTTGTATCTTATTTCTCTTTAAATGCTAAGGGCACACTTACCGAATGGAACAACATACAGTGTCCTATCCTGGACTGGATGTCCTCCGGGCCAGCATTACAAGAATCCTCTCTGAGAAGTTTCCATGTCTGACACTGACAGTCAAAAGCAAACAATCCACTGAACTGGGGTTCGCTTGCTCTGCTGTCGTCTACGCTCCCATTACACGTCAAAATTCGACCACCAAATGTGTAGATCATGTGTTTTTCAGAATCCATACACATCTGTAAGAAGCAAGAGATGCTCCATTGAATTAGGAGGCATTTTCATTATGAATATATTAAAAATGAATATCCGTCAATAACAGACCCTTAACTCAAGAAGGCATCCAGTTAAACAGTGCATCTTTTCCATCCCTAATCTACAGAAAATGGAGAAGGAGAATGCAGCTGTCCTGCATTGGTCAGAGGCAGGCCCCTGAAGGCCCCAACTTTACAGCTGGGTTGGATTGCCTGCGTAAAGCGACACCACTGCTTGACATCTTTAGTTGTTCCATTTTCATAAATGAACAGGGCCAACCCCAGGCCACGCTTTAGCCAATTCAAAATACTCAATGGGGTTGCAGTAATTTGGTAAAAGCAAGAAAGAGTAATGTCAATGGCTTCTTTGCTTACTCTTGTGTTGGCAACAACCTTTGACAAGCTGGAGAAGGAATGCTGCCATCTGACAACAGCTAAGGAAGGGGATCGAGATTACTGCCGATTCGCTAAGAACCGCATGCACAGCTATTCTATTGCAAAGCAAGATTTGTTGCCCCATGTTCAACCCTTCATCTGTTTGCTGGTTTCATCCCTATTATTTCTACAACAGAATGGGACATGACCTGGTTGAGGCTTCTAGCTACTACTGCAATCTTGAAATAGCTACAGTTAATCCCTGAAGTCTGAAAAATTCAAGCAGCTAATTTACAGCACTCAAGAGGTGCCCAACAGTACAAATAATGTACTGTGGTCTTCTATCTCCAAGAGCTTATTCTGGTCATGAAGCAACCACCAAGGAAATTACAAAGCAGCAGGGAAGAGTGAGATGCAGGGAAAGGCAGGTGGTCCTTCTGAAGTGAGTTTACATGGCTACTTAGCAAAAACTAGTGCATACGTTGATGAAAAACAAACGTGTACTGCAAGTTACCGGGAGGGTTACAGCTTGGTGGATGAACTGAAAAGGACATTTCTTATATAATGAAGTCTTGAGGGGGTGACATTTTCAGGGGAAATGGATACGAGTACCAAGGCTAGCACTGAATAATTTCTCCTTTCCGACAGTATCTCTCGTGTGGATTTTATTCATTCTCCTTTTCAAACAAAACTGTATGCCAGGATTACTGTCAGCAGGAACACGTATCCAGTTTAGCACACCTGCAGACTCGTGTGGCAACCAGAAAACTGCCAGACATGGGGAGGATGGTACCTGCAAGTATCTTAAATTGCTTCTATAGCATAGCTCTGAGAATACTGCTGGTTACACACTGCAGAGTCAGGAGGTACAGCTCAAAGGGGGGAGTTTTGTCCTTGAAAAATGCATAGCGCCTCTTATTTCTTAAACCCAAGATATTCAAGTTTGGAAGATTATTTCTTAAGTACCCAACTGCAAAACAGTCTAACATAAAAGCATCAAAACATTCGTTCTGCATTTCAATTCTGACCTGTGCGATTTTCAAGAAAAACTGGCACCTAGTTCTAACATCTCCAAAATATACCGAGGTAGACCACATAGTTACAGAAACCATTTAAGTCCTTTCAAGTTTTGGGGGTTTTTTGCAATACCTTTGTGCATCGTAACATTCAGCACCAATTATGGTGTGCAGGGTTGTGTGACCTCAGTAACAAGAGCAATTATTTCCCACTGACTAGACAACACTATGCATCAGTTCAGCAAGATCAGTTCCCCTAAACACTGGTGCCTGGTTAGTATCTTAACATGGAGAAACAAATAACTGCAAAAAAAATGTATAGGATAGGGTTTATGGTTCCTTTGTTGCAACGCAGAACTTTTAGGAGACAAGAATTCCTGATAAGGAGCTGTCAGTCGCACTACCTGATGCCAGCACGTCTTTCAATGGGCTGTGTTCAAGAATGCAATACAAAGCCTGAAAAGGTAGCAGTCACGATATGTAAGCAACTGTCCTAAATTTGTGTGTGCACCTAACCTGATGATCAAACACGAGTTTGGGTCCTCCATCTGCTGCCGTGTCTTCGCTAAGTAACATCCAAATGTTCGTATCGATGTCATAGCGGTAGAAGTCACTTTTCAGAGATTTACTGTTCCTCACAGAGGAATCCAGGTAACGTCCCAGTGTGTATATCTGCCTTCGCTGAATATCGATGCACATCTTGTGACAAGATCTGGCACTGGGACCATTCTATTTAAAAAAAAAAAAAAAAAAAAAAAAAAAAAAAAAAAAAAAAAAAAAAAAAAGTGGAGGAAAAAAAACCAGAGTGAACAATACATTTTTCATTGTCATCATAGATATATCGGTTTGCCGAGTCAGGATAACTAGAGTACTTAGCAACTAGTGTATATCTTTTGACTTTTAATTGAAGTCGGTTTTAAACAGTACGTAAATTATTGTATTTGCCCCTAGTAGAATGCTCTGCCATGCAACGCATGCTATTTTTATACTGCGAGGATCCATTTTGCTTTAGACATGATAATCTAATAATAGATCTTTCCTCAAGACTTACGATCTCCAGTCTTTTCAACAGTTTACTTAGAAAAAGCTGAAAGCTGCTTCCTTAGAACTGCTTTTCAGATTATACGGAACTTAATTAAAATGACAGTAGCTGGCACATTCAAGGTGCAAGTTCATGCAAGCTAACCTATAAACAGTTACGATGGAAGACTATCTAATACACCATTATAACCCTGCAGAGAACGACTATACAATCTTACTGTTCTGTGCTTTCTAATAATCTCTAGGCATTTGCGTAAGCGACCACATCTTGTACCAGACCTGGAAGTAAAAAAAAGAAACTATCCTTTCCATTTAGATAAAATAAATACATCCTCCAACAAAAATAAAAATTTGCTTCTGCAAAAAATGCAAGTAGAGAGCAGATAGTTTGGCATGTAAATTTTCCCTTCTTAAAAGTTCTGCAGCTATAGAAGCTATTCATGTCTACTGTAGCACCTACCTCTACTCTAGTATCTACTCTTTCATCTCTACTCTAGTATTTCATACAGGACAATTAGGAGTTATTATTCAGTGTTCTATGACACCGATATAACCAGCTTATGGCTGACTGGGCCCACTAGTAAGTTAAAATATCTTTCCAAAAAATCTCAAACATAAATCTATGTTCTACAAGTTTGTATCAAGAAATACTCCTAAAACTACTGGTGAAATGTTGAAGAGCACAAAATGAATCTGTCTCAGCCTTTTAGAGAGGAATAAGTGAACACAAAATGGAAAGACTGTTCTGAACCAAGAGTTTAACACTGCTGTATTCAGATTCAAGAATTCAAGTTCTTTGTGTGAAACAAAGTTAGCATGATAGAATTTAATTTTATGAAACTCTAAATTGCAGGAATTGCACCAAACTGCCTACTTATTTATTTATTTTTAAGTGGTACATTACTGTGTCTGAATTATGAATGGCAACCTTCTGGGAATTATAGACATACAGAACCCTGCTACACGTACAAATTAAAGCTGGATGGAAGCCAGTTATAGAGTTGTTACATTTTCAAGCACTAAACTTTATAGCTGGTTGGCTCTTTTTATAGCTGGACCATTCTTTTTATCATGTGATAATTTTCAAATGTAGCTGGCATAAATTTACTGTGCAATTAACCAGTTAATGGTATGATAATTATTTTGCACTTGTGGCCAGTCTAAATTTATTTATTCCATGTTAACTGCGCCATATATGTAACATGTAGCAGGGGCTTAAGTAGCCTAAAGTCACTAATATGCAGTAAGATAAAACATTTTTTCTTTTAAAGTGACAGAATTACAAAGAACATCTTCGCAACACAGCCCTGGGGCCCCTGACATGTTCACTGGAAGGCAGGATGGGATGCGATTCACAATTACACCTCCTGCCATGCCCCATGCAATCATAGAAGGCGTGACTATGGGATCAGTGATCAGATGCCATTTGCACCATACTGCTGGTCCCAGGCTCTCCCTGCAGTTGCAAGTTGGGCACCTGATGATCACCTGACCGTTGGCTAGCTCCAGGGATCCAAGGGGCTGGTCTGAGTCCTGATGATGTCCCTAGATCAACTGACTGTTGGCAGATCAGAACCACGCCAGGCCTCAAGCCCCTGGGATTTGAATCCCCAAGCACCCCCTTTCAGCTGAAAGCAAATTGGAACAACCTGGGGACTAGAACCCCTCAGTGGTCACAGTCCAGGTGACAGTCAGTTGATCAGAGCCACTTTGGGGCTTGAGAGACAGTCAGCAGCAGCAACTGCCTTGGGGCTCAACCCTCCAGACAGCAGATCAGAACCACCCCAGGGGTTCCAGACCCAGAGCAGTCCCAATCAGCTGATCCCTGGCAGGACTGGGACCACAGAAGGAGGTTTCTTGACTGGCAGGGACCGCTCCACAACTTAAATCCCAGTGCCGTCCCCGCCAGTCCATGGCAGGTCCGGATGGCGAGGAGGCTGGAACACTGGAGTGGTCCCAATCCTGCCCTGGATTAGCTGATTGGGTCTACTCCAGGACTCATGCCCAAGGATGGTCCCTGTCACGCATTCAATTTAAGGCATAACGGAAACCAGCCACAAAGTTATTACACATACTGTGCAGTAACTTTGTAGCTGGTTTCCCATCTGTTGTTCCATTAAGCCCCTGAGTGTGTGGCCAGTTTACACTTTAAGATGTGACTAACTGGTTAATGATGTCTTCAGTGCAGCATCTGCTTGAGGCCTGAAAGGCAGTAGGGTTCACTGCCTCCTTGTCAAAGGTAAAATGCCCTTATCACATCCCTGCTCTGGCTATATTTCAATCCTATGAACCTTTTTCCTCCTTGTTCCCCCACGTTCATTTGAGGAAGATGAGAGAGAAAGGAGGGGAAAAGAACTGAGGCTTGTTTTCTGAACAAACTGATAACAGCAGCTTCAAGAACAGCTGAACTGGAACAGAAGGGGTGGCGCTTCCACGGAAAATACTGAGTTTTTATGCTCAATAAAAGGGTGTCCTCAACCACGGACAAGGAGGTCATGCCAGCACACGGAGAAAAAGGCCATCTCTGGAATAAACAGCTGTGACACTTATGGATGCTCTCTGGCAAGGAAACAGCAGAACATCTGCCTTGGCAAAGAGGTTATTTAGGTAGACTGTTAAGATTGGCCTGCATTTGAAATTGGTGCTTTATGGATCTTCCATTCAGTGCGTCACTGGCCTGAAAATTACTTGCAAGGCCAGGTCTTGATGATTCAAGTGCCATTTTTTGCTTTTACAATAAAGGCTGCTCATAAAAACTAAATCAATCTAGTTCAGATTAATACAGTACTCTAAAAGATTTGGCCTACACTAATTTCACCGAGATGCTGAATACAATTATTATAGAGACACAAATAATACAGCGATCCTAGCAAAAGCGTCTGACCCCCAAAGCTTTTTGCAGTCTAAGCAGTCATAGCTGAGGAAGCTTTCACAGATTTTGACACGGGCACAGAGAGTTTCTACGATTTACCCACTTGCACAAAGTCTGCAGCAGAGCAAGAAATTGCATTGAGCTTTTCTTATTTCCAGATCAGGGCCTTGGCTATAAGATCGCTTTCCTTTCAAATTATGTTTTGCTTGAAAGCACAAATGGAAATGATCCCCTTAACATCATACGTATTAATTTCTTGCCACTTGTTCCAAGACTAAAGGAGTTGTCTTCTGAGCAGTACAACCACATACGCACACATGTACCCCCCACCCCCAAACTATTTTATTCTAATCATTCAAATGCAATACAAAGGACTAAAGTACTCAGTGCTCGATCACGTCTCAGGCTATTTTAAGGCTTACTAGTAAAAGGGGATTAACTGAGAGCTCCGATTCCTCTTTCTATCTATTCAGAAAGGAGGCACAATGCAAACTGTCCCTTGCAACGTTTCAACCGTGACCTTGTCATTTTGTAGAAGAGGCATTTCCCTACCTTGGACTGCTTTTTCTAGCTTAAGACCATTCCCGTTTCCTTCTCCCAGCTAGCAGAGGCTTTAGGTTTTTTATTATTAGTATTCTCCAAGAGCCAAATCATGTGTACAGAAGTGTTACCCGCAGCTGACTAAAGCTACAATGAACTCAATCGAAGCTTCCAATCTGTTCGTTTGCAAATATTTGCTAATGAGGAAAATAGCTCCTTTAAGATGGCTTTAAGCAATGCTGTACATAGTTTTGAAATCAAAGAGAGTGGAAAGCACTAAACCTGCACTTGCCTGAAGGCTACTAAAAATGCGCCTCCATGCGTCATTTTTAATATTAGCATACTTCAGTGCGAGAAACACAAGGTCCATTTATGAGGAGAGACACGTATAGAGACTACGGACAAAAAACGAGTAAGACGCTTTCAGCAACATGTGATCAAATGAATAAAGAGCCTGTGGGCAGTTGAGAACGTTCATCCAAAGAAGTCTACTTCGCGTAGCTACAATAGCAGGCCTGTTGTCCCGACAAAGAAAGCACTAGAGCAGTTCCCCTTGGAGAGCGACTTACTGAATTCAAATGGGAAGAGTTGGTCGATTCCGGACGTATTGAAAGAACTCGACCCCTTATTTATTAAGCAACAAGTGAGAAAAAGCAACTGCAGCGGATCTGCCTTTCCTTGCAAGCAGCAACGGAAGAGATCAAGTGTGGTTAAATGGCTATGGAACACAAGTTTTCCAGGGCTCGACTGGCCTGATATTCCAGGAGTCAAGGTTACATGGACAATTAGCTGCCGCTGAAGCTCCAACCCTTCTGGAATAGAGACCAAAACTGCTAACATGGAGAACAGGCTAAATACCCGACGCTCACGTTGACGCGCTAGCTTGCATCGGCATGCACTGCCGACAAAGAATTCCCCTTGCATCAATGGGAGAACGGAAAGCTTCATCGTAAGCCCTCTACACCATGCTCTTGTGAAAGTAATTTGACTGGAAGAATACATGTGAGAAAAGTTTCAACTAATTTTTATTCATCACAGCCTCCAACTTAGGGAAGATACAAGGCATCATGCCCTTGACGATGAAACAAGGAAAGTAAGAGGAACAGAAAACATGAAGTAACCCTAAAAATGGACTACTACTTTGAAATTTTTTAATTGGCTTTACATGTAAAAGACATGTAGGTTGTAGCCGTGTTGGTCTAAGGACATACGCAGACATGGGGTAAATCCAATATCTTTTATTAGAGTTTTTGAGTTGGTCTGAAAAAGGATATCG